ATTTCCAAAATCCTGACTTAATTCCTCCGTTTAACATTCCAAATGTAAAAATATTCCACCAATTTTAATTTGCATACTAAAAAAGTAAAAATTATAAATACGTATTAAAAGAATGAAACAGTAACTCCTCCATTTTCTTTTTTCCCCACAATCAGGTTGCGAGCAACGAACCACGGATGAACAGGAGTGAACCGCGAGAGGAAAAAACAGAGCGTGGCCGGCATTTAAATAATCAAGGAGGCAACGTCGCGCTCGGATGCGACAGCGAATTAGACGGTAAAGAAGTTTAAAAGGGCCAATATACAGGGCGGTTTCCTTCCCAGGAATTATGCTCCCTGGCCGCGTGGGCTGACCCCTCCGGTGTTCTCGTCGTCAACGTCGCGGAAGTTCACCATTAAAACAGCTGGATCGAGCCAGATCTCGCGAGACGAATCTAGCCGCTTCACTGTCACGGGTCTGACCTCGAATCAGCGTATCCTTAAGTCCCTAGTGAGGATTCTGGACGAACGAAACGAGATAATACCGGCCAACGATCCTCTCGGGACACGTTCGCTTTGGAAATTGACGTGGCCACGTTTGTTTCCGTGGAAAAACACCTCTTAAACGTGAATCTCGAAGGCGTGGCAAACTTCGAGAAACAGTGGTAACGTATTTTCGATGATTTAACGTCGATTCGAACAAATCACGTCTAGGGAAATTTCTAGATCTAGGAAAGGTTGGTAGGACTGCGCGGGAAATTGTTTTCGCGGAATGATTGATGGCCGTAGAATAAGTATCGGGTATTTGCCGTTTGTAAATAGAGTTGTGTTTGTTGCACGACGTAAATCCTGTCGGTAGTATGAATTGAGAAATGGAAAAGCATTTCTGTGAACGCGTTGATTGAAATTCGCGAATGTATGAATTTGTGCGAGAAGTGTAGAGAATCGATTGGAATCGCTGCAGTCTGCGAGCGAGGCTTTAAGATTGATCCCCATCTATCGTTGGAATAAATTTTAAAATGTATCTGTGTATACGGAATTACGAAATAAATAAGAATTTAATAAGATAATTTTGTTTATCGTCCTTTCGTTTACGTTTCATCGCTAATATCCTGGTAAGAATGGAAATTTGCGTTACAAAATGTAATAATACTTAAGTGAAATAATATAACGATTATTATCTGTTATATGTGAACGTTTAATATGGAATACAGTATGCAGCAGTTACATACATATCAATAACGATCGTATAGCACGTAGCCACGCTAATGAACTTGCGTCTAAAAATAAATATACGTTAAACTGAAATTACATCGACTAAATGTTAACAGTAAAGTTCATCAGAATCTAATTTTAATTGAACGAGACGCGCTGCGTGTTCCGCCTATGCATCACCGAAAGCGAATCTCAGGCTTCGCGTACTATATGCGACAATTTATATTTCATTTAGGAGCGAAATGTATCACGATGCCATTTCCACAGTGCCCTAAACCCGGTTATACCGAGGTCAATCAAGCCTTCCGTCTATTTCTCGAGATGACGACAACACGAAAATAGATTTTCGCCATGTATACGATATTCCTTGCTCGTCGTCCGGTATGAGAATGCGCCGATAATCGAAACAAACATTATAAACGAACTTCACGTAATGACGTCAGCGACATCTGATCATTGATCGAACTAAACCAAGTCGCTTGAATAACCTACAAAACGATATTAACAATAATACAGCGATCTTTGTGACAAACATCGTTTAATCGTATATGTATGTATATTCGAGAATATAATAACGTAAAGGTAATAATGAAAGATGGGGACAGCGTAAAACGTGAACAATCACTAGGGAACATTGTTGAAAGGGAGGTCATTTCGTGACAGCTATGCCGAACAAGCAGAAGAGAAATTGAACGAGGAAATACAGTGGACACACTGGAAGCGTGTGCACGGCCCCCTGACACACATCGACTCGTTAAAATAACGACATAATGGCTAATTTAGCGATAATAAGCACGAACCGTATCGTTCAAATTAGCGTCGAAGGTGAGACGAGAACGACAAAGAGGGGCGTCCGAGAAACGAGAGAAACGCTAGAGATCGGCGTGTCACAAGTTACTGCATTACGTTCGCGATGTCCACCTCCTGCCATCTTGTGGCCATTTTACGAAGCGCCAGCCTGAGTCAGGGCCGTACCTTGATCTTTGTGCTACTTTCGGTCTTCGTTATAACTATGTATATAAAAACTTCCTTCGTCCGAATTTGAAAATATTTCACTGTACAATTTTCTAATTTGCAACTATGTAATTTTCAATAATAAAAAAACGTCTTGTTGTATTAAAACTTCCACAATGGTAGAGGAGTATTTTAATTTTAGGTTACACGATGGTATTTTGTATTACAAATGACATTATCAGAGGTAATTTAAATTCTAAGAGTGAAAAAGAAAGAATGCAGGTAACCGAGATATAAATGCAAATATGGCTTATGCAATCACGTTCGGTAATGCAAAAAAACATTTACCACCAGTCGAGATCAACGACCTTCCGACAAAAACATCTACGATAGTCAAGGAAGCAATTGTAGGAGCGTACCTTTTAATGAGCGAAATGATTTCAATCGCGTTCTATATTGCCGATTTTTCTTCGGGACAAAGCAACTCGAGCAGCTAATCAGCATTGTTGCTGCCCTTTCCGAAGGGGGGCCAATTTTCATTATTATAAACTCCTCTCTATAGATCATTTTCATGTGAATCCTCGAAATCGAGGTCAAATATCGTACTACATAAAAATAAGGCTGCTTTTCACAGTCGAACGATGGCGATTTGCCAAAGTAAAATCAAACTCAAAAGAATTTCTATTCAAATCCAGAAATTTATCGTGAAACGAAACTGTTGTCAACGTTTCGAAAAAATTTTCATAGAATAACAAAGTCATCTATAGGGTTGACTTACGTAGAAATTTCGATTAACGATAATTGAACTATGTCGTCGATACGAAATAAAAAGTTTGACATTGTATATTTATCACAATATAAATTTATTATTAATTAGTTCTTTCATAAATGTACACCCGTATTGTAGAAGACGAAATGGCAATAGGTACTTTCATCTATGGTCATTGGTCAGAAAGTTTGAATAGAAAGGGACTACAAGATACGTTATACAACATTTTCTAGGGGATTTTATTGCCTGTTACTTGATATTTTCCCGTGGGATGGCTACCATTAGAAATACTTAGACCTTGACATAGATTTGTGTAGTGAAACCTGTCAGCCGAAAACTTTTACCTATACTATCCCAGGAATGCTTTCAAAGAACGTTTAACAACAAATTCATTGTTATCGAATTAACGTGAAAACTAAATTGTTGTCTGGATTACAAAGAAAGAGTCTCAAGTGTGATATATTAACAGTGACCTAACCAATTATATTATCGCGATTTAATTAAACAAGATTATTTATTATAATAAGATGCTAAGCCAGATTTACAAAATTATAAGTAGGCTTTATCTCAAGTACGTGTATACATGAAACTCTTCAGTTATTGCTACACTGTTCTGTCGAATAATAAATTCACCTGTATATTAAAGGAAGAATGGCCGGTATTGTTTACGTATCACGTGTAGAACAATTACACCGAATCTGTGCTCGTTTTTATCCCACCGATTCTGTCAATTCAATCAAGAGGAACAATTGAATAATAAATTCCAAGAATAACACGAATAACCGTTTCCTGTGTAACAGAGAAATACAGCACGGATGTTTTTATTACGGGACTAACTTCCACGTGTATTCATCCACTCCGCATATTACACGAGTTTATTTCGAAAGAGGGGTCCGTTAATGACACGGTGATAACCATATTTAAACATTCGAAAGTTATTAATAAGTACGTATGTATTTCGGAAATGTACAAAGGAGAAGCCATAATCTTTCGTAAAAATACCAAACAAAGAGAAAAGAAAAAAAATACGTGTTCCATGTTTGTCAATGAAATACAACTGTGCAAACGTAAACACAGTCTCTGAATACACTTTCACTTCTTCCGTTAAGAGTTTAATAATGTCACCGAGAATTCACGGGATTCTATAAACGGAAGAAACTATTTTACATACTGTCGTAAAACGTATATTGCTTTCCGTTGATGTAGCGAAAGTATACAATCCCTTATATAGTGGCATATAATATCGCACGGCAAGAAATCGTAATCCGATACGATACAAAATACCCCCGAGTGATATTATTTATGCACCTGAACATCCACAATCGGACATCTGCTTAACGTACGCCAATAAGATCCCTAGCGAAAAAACAACAAACAGATTGTATACCCCGAGCCACGTGCATATTATTTCCCAAGATGGTGAGAGAGAGAGAGAGAGAGAGAGAGAGAGAGAGAGAGAGAGAGAGAGAGAGAGAGAGAGAAAGACGGTAAAGTCAATCTGTGGATTGCTTGATTTCATGGTTAGATCGTATTTCTTTTACCGTATTTCAGAAATAATTCCCTACAGATGCAATTACACTCGTTCAATGTTTTCCTACCCACAAGTTCGACGTAAATTGGCTACTTTATACATTAACAATATTGTAAACGAATAACGTAAAAACAACTTCAAATAGTAGTTGATCAATTTTCCATTAACGTGTACTCGATTATGTAAAAAGTCAAACACCTAACGTCTAAGTGTCGTCAGAAGATCGTGGACCGACGTTAATATCGTAATACCGTGAAATGAATTAATGAGGAAAATCAATAAGAAATTCCGTGAAAACGACCGCTCAAGGGCGTGGTTTACCGGACAGTATGACGTTCCTGCGTGAACACGACGCGTGGCCCGTCAACGAACGAAGCGCGCGAACACAATCGGCGAGACGATCGCCAATTCGATACAGGAATCGATAATGTAAAAGAATGGCGTACGGCACGCTCGGTTCGAGCGTTCCTCGCTCGTATATCCTACATTTGCATCGTCATCGAACCCATGTCGAATGTATACAAGGACAAAAAAGGCAGAAAATGTTACTGACCTCAGTTGCTAGCTTCCCTTTCGACGCCATCTTGACAACAATGATGGCCGTCGGTCGATGTTCCGATTACCTGCTGCACACGCTGCACTTTACGACGATGACCAACGAATCCTACAAATACACACGACACTGATCTTATTCTGTTCGAAGTTCACACTTGCACCGGATTCTAGCACGTTCACACTTCCGCCGTAATAAAATAAATCGGTCGCGACCGACGATTTCGTAACGAATGCTTCACGCGACCGTACCGAAATACTGTGCTGACGTCACGGCACGAAGCTTCTTTTCGTACTACACATACTACGAGGAGTACGAGTTTACAAGCGACACGAAGGCACCCCGGCTCATCACAATCGTGCCCCACCACTTTGGGCGACCGATACAAGTCCCTTTCACTCGCTCGCTCGATAATTATAATACGGTAACTCTCCCCCCTTTTCACATCAACATGTTATCCTCTCTCATTCTACCATGTTCTCGCACGAGTGATGCTCGTAATGCTTGTTCTTTCTCCTTCTCGTTAACCTTTCTTCGTCCCTCCACGTAATACGCCAATGTGAACCGGTATTCATGCATTGGAGTCGCACGGGGCGTTTTATTCATACACACTGATCGTTCCCTTCATCCTTGCCTGTTGATGGCTATCGAAAAAAAGATTAATAATTTCTACGCTTCCGGACAGCGTCGAGTGTGTGTGTGTGTGCCCTGTTGCGCTCAGGCCAATAAGCGAATTTACGAGGTTGAGGTTAGGTGTCAGCCAGAGAGAATCGTTACGTCCCACTCTCTTTCTTTCTCTGGATCGTGGTTCCAACCGGGGCGAAGGGAGATTCGCTTTAATTCAAAGCGAATTAACCTTCCTGCACGCGTTTGCCCTCACTGATCTTGCTTAGTTAAGTGCGGTCAAACGTCACGTACTTTTTACGAATTTCGAACCGCACGAAAACGCGGGCACTTACGATGCAAGCGCGCGCATTCGAGTTGCCATCGAGCAACAGTATCGATCACGAAAATCGATAACCGATGCACCAGTAAATTGAGATAGGAAATTGTTTTCGAAATTCAACGTGCAGAATATTTAAACGAACGTTGTAGTGTACCGAAGTTGAATTACTTTATGAATCACCCTCGATTAATTCAACATAGAATTAAAGTGTCGCCAGCATTTCTAACTCGATTGCTCATTCGTTTTATGCTCACGTAGCTGCACGTCGCGAGCGTTATTCGCGATACGATAGGATTGCATCCGTGTTGTACAATACTTCGACTGAAACGTGGGCGGAACGCGAACTCTGCAAGTTTTGTATAAAAGTCCTTCCTGGTGATGATAGCTGACCTACTAATATCTGAAAAACTCTCAACATAACTTCAATATGTACCGAAACGACAGATAAATTGAATATGATCATTCCGATTTCTTTTTACAGCTAATCCCATTAAAAACTTTTAATACCATCGTCGTAACAAAGAAGACATCCTGACAAAGAAACGAGAACAATCGAAATAATCCCTCGCCATTTCCACAAGCATCTTTCTTGATATGTCCACAAATTACAGAGATCTATGTGGCCATCCATAATGCGTTAAGACGGCTGTCTCATTAACCTTCTATACAACAAGATCTCTGCGTCCGTGCACGCACGTATCCGCCGAGTCATTTTTCACCCAATGCATTACCGTCGGATGCTTCGAGCATAGGGAAACTCCGCGCGGAAAGGAACAGCCTCGCCCCGCGAACCTAAACGCATGCAAAGTTCTTGGTTTCCTTGCATTTATACGTCTGTCACATCTTTCTCTCCCACCCCACCATTACTGACTGATCTTTGGGTCTCGTTGTCTCACTCGCGCCCTCTGCTGGTTTACATGCGTATACACATAGAGACGCGGTTTGAAGGCTCGTGTGTGGCGGTGCCGAGCTGCGACCTGTTTATTTTCGGGCCGGTTCTCATATGCGAGGCACGCCCAGCTCCTGAATCATTATTGGCACACGAACCTTCGCTGGAATCGGTATTACGTACGCGTGCCATAAAGTAGAAGACACGAGAGGGACGGAACAGGGGGACACACGGAGGAAGACAGAGGGAAAAAGAAATATGTACGGAGGAGAGAATGCGAGTCCCATGTAGTCTTGCGTGGGTCGGCAAATCCATTTCGCGCTCGTGTTCCCTTTCCACCTAGGAACGGAACCAGCGATGGCTACAAAACGGAAACGATATAGGAAGTTTCTTCTTCTCATTGAACCTTTCATGCGACGCTTGCGTGAGTGTGTGCGGTGTACACACACTGTAGCGCGAGTTCTGTTTTATCTGGCGCGCTGACTGTCGTTAGTTCGCGTGGACGTCATCCATGTGGAATAATGTCAAGGACAAGAGGCGGCCAATCGGCCGGACCGACAAATTTGTAAACGATTGACGCAAGGTGCACACCCTCTATAGAGAGAAGGATGAGCATGGCCATGGGCCTGCCAGCTTGTGTATACCTCCGGAACAGTCAATCGGCTAATTTGATTAAATTGACTGATCCGCGTGTACGGCGTAGAGCTACCTTCCACTTATGTGTATGAATGGAATTTTTTTGGAATCGTTTGGAAAGCTGTTTGATTCACGTAGTAGTCACATAGTAGATTCTTGTCATTTTATGCCGGAAATATCTTTGCCGCTTTTTCTCGCATGTAGAATATTCAAGATTAAACGTTCGAGTACTGATTTGTGAATCACGTTTACATAATCTCGTACGATATACTACTTGAGTCAGCATTAGAACGAATTAAAATAATACAAATACGACAGTTATTTTACATAAATCATCCGATACACGTTCTTGTCACATATGAAACGTCACGATTCCTTTTTTTCCACGTTAATATTTTCCAGATTTTTATTCAGCGACTAATAATATGCTGCGTCCATAAATCACGAGGAAAGTAAAGGGTGGAAATAATTGGTAACCCGCTGAGCGAAATTTCCGACGATATTATCCGGTATACTGGGAATGTTCGATAAATTTCCATCAGACTGGGCACGCATACAGGGCTTCATTACAGTATAGAGTTCGTTCTTCTCGTGATCGATGCCATTTTCAACTATGTAATTCACTTAATCACCCAATCAAATGTCAAACACACGAATCGGTATTTCCTTTCTACTTTATCCCGTTACTTGAGAATTTCTCGGTAAAACATTCAAATTCAAACTTTCTCCATTTTTTACTCGATCTATTTTTACTTCAAAGTAATTATTTTTTCTTTCTAATTTACTGTTTCAGGAACTTAAACATAGATTCATCAGGAACTCAAACGTAGAATTACTCAAGATGAGAAATGACTCGGTACAGTGCGTTGAATAGAAATTACAACGAGTGCAAAGTTGAAGAAAAGCGTCACTCGAGTTTCTCAGCCGAGAGTTGTTCGTGTTTAGTGCACGTTCGAAGGTGTCACTAGATATCTTTCAGAGCGATGCGACCGGGTCGATCGTTGTGCAGGGATGTGGGTCAGGCATACGCCCGAACCCCCTGGATTTTCATCTCGTCCCTTTCTCCGGCAAAACGTACGCTTGTAACGCGTAATTCTGACGCAACATCGTTTGTTTCCTGTTTCACGGAATTTCGCCAGTTATTCATTCAACTAACTACAACACGGCGTACTCCCGATGAAACTTCTCCATTTTTTTTTTCCAGAAAAATATCCTCATTATAATAGTCGTTATCTCGCCACGATTATATCCAACTCCGAGGTATAATTCCAAGAGTAAAGTAAATTTCGAACACCATGAAACTGCGATTAATTAAAATCTCATTAGAGATTCATTCGTATTATAATTAATGCCCCTTATCATTATCATTCTTCTTCTTTCTTTTTTTTTTTTCAGCAGCAGAACATCCAGATACGTTCCAAAGATATATCTGAACTCCGCGACTTATGGTGCAAGAGGAGGACGAAGAAGAAAAAGGATGCGTTTGGTAATTAAGTAATATTTAATATTTCATGAAATAAATAATCATATATCAAGTCAGAATAGTGATTCGAATCGTGGTCCTTTTTCAGCGATCTGCATCTAGTCGACAACCTTAGCTGGGATCTTGAAGCACATCTGGTAATTATTGTGCTCATCGACCAAAGCGAACTGGATGGTCAAACCGATTTTCGGGTAGGCCCTTTCGATTGGCATCCTCATGAAGTAGGTGGATACTTCACCCTTCTCCAATGGACAGGATCCGCTCACGAGACCCTTGCAGGCGTTCTGTTCAGGGAATGGGTACTTCACGTGCATGTTTCCAAGCTGAACGTCCACATCCGGTCGCAGGGTCTTCGTGCTGGCGGCTATAACAGGTCGTTCAGTAGAAAACGTCCGTGCAATGCACTTTTAGAGACACGAGCTCATTTTTTCTCATTTACCGCGTCTCCTTCGCAAGACACTTACAGATGAATATCCTTATGAACTTGTTTCTCTTTTTCTTTGCATTTTCTACACTCTTATCTGTAAGTCTCTGGACACTTTGTACACTTAGATTAATTATAAATTTATATGATATTTGCAAAATAAAAGGAAGATCTTCTTAAAAAGATCTTATTGCAATAGAGAAGATCAAAATTGCAAAGAAACATTGTGTATTCAAAAGTGGCAAGAGTCCGATTATTTATGGATAAGAGATTTGGAAATGAATATACTTTTCACATGGATTTCAATTCAATTCAAAGTCAAATTGGAGTTCCACTTACAGGCAGTGAATACGATGGAGCCTTCAACGATGGTTCCTCTCTTCAGGTTGCAGGGTAGAGTCTTACATCCCAGGATTTCCACGCTATTGGGACCGGGTTTACCGTCGCAGGGCAAGAAGCTTGATTGCATCGAGTCAGCGATGAATAACACCGCGAACAAGTAAACTGAAACCACGAAATAACATACTTCGCTGGGTCACAAAGAAAAACTAGTAATTTGGACCAATATCTTCAACCGAAGTTGTGGATCGTTCTAATAGATCCACATTTCTGTGTGAAAATCAATTCAATTCTAGCGTACGATATTTAGGAACCTTGAAATTTCTTCAAGATTTATGTTACGTTCATAGATTTGTAAAATTCGTCAAATTTGATCAGAGATAATTGGAAAATTCTTCTGTTACACTGTTCTCATAGTGATGTTAAACAATAGATTACATACCATAAGCGATGAATGCCATTGTGATGTGTGCTGTTCGGTTTGCTACTTTCCAAATGAACTGAAATTCACTGGACAACGGATAGCTATTTATTGGTGGTCACTATCTAATCGAGCAGTCGACCTCAAAAATAATTATCACCGACACCTGAAAACACTTCAGGTACACCTGGTACAGAAAAAAAGAAAGGGTAAATTGGAAATTACTAAACCAACATCGATATACACGTTCGATCGAGAGTCTTGTTTGACAATTTTTCTTTGATAACCACGATTAATCTTGTCTCATTACAGATGTCTCCTGAGGGAAATTAGAAGTTCGAGTATTCTACTAAATAATTACTGTTTTATCAGAAGAGACGAGATTTACTTCAGACTCGCACGTGGCGATCGAAAACACCGCTCGAAAGTGGTTAAGATTAGCCCGACACGTCTAATTGCAAATTGCTGTTCCATCTTTAACTCGACATTTGATTATCTACGTTAAATCTACCCGCTTAAACAAAGAATAGAGAAGACAAATAGAAAAAAAATTCATCGATCTTTTGTTTTCTGATAAATTAACGATAAAGAAAGAAAGATACCTTTGTTGTTTCATTGTGTCATTCTAAATCTCGAGTAAATTGACATAAAGCAGCGATAAGCCGCTTTAATCAGTTCAAGTGAAAAAAGAACATTCAATGCTTAATCTTTCTGGAATCAGTAATTTGTATTCTCTTTTAAAAATTTGTCATAACTTTTATCGATAATAAATGTATTCATTATTATCTACATTGAAAATAATACATTTCATCCTACAAATAAACGAACAATTTTCAAACTAATAAGATATGTCTTTTAAAAACCATATTTTCCAGTGAGATTATTGGATTTTTAATTGCAATTCTAAGTTAAAGAATCGTTTATTTTTTTAGGAAAAGGGTTGAAGAAAAGATTCAAAAGAAGATTGTTTATTCAGTGTCAAATGTAACAATTGTCACGGTTTCCATTTCCCTTTTTTAAAATTAAAATCACGACTTGTCCGTCGTCTTCTTTTCATTCTCAAAAGCGTCCGAAATTCCTGTTTGACCTTTCCGATCAGATGACCCGGAGATGTTCCCTTGCAGCTTATGTAAATTCTTCGTGGATTCATTGATATTCCTCTTCGTCCATGGAGGGCCCTGCACGAATTTCAGGACTAACAGATCACGCACACAGGTGGGCGTGATGCCGAACAAGGCGTGATAAACGAAGTACCGCCACGGATCGTTTCTGAAGCGTTGTTCAAACAAAAACTCGTTAGTGACGTAACAGCGTGGCACTACATTGATTGCAAAAAATAGTACGAGATCTCTGCTATTAATTAGAGCCCAGGTGTTTAAACACAGGTGTGGATTCAACGAGGAAAACATTGATATGTCATCATTTAGAGATTTTTATCTCATGTCTGAGGAACGAGATAGCGTGAATCGCGTTTCTTTGATAATTTTATACTCGTACTTCAGTCAACCAACAGGTTCCCTCGAGTAACTACAAGTTCGCTCTCTTAAAGTACGTTTTTACGTGACGTTAGACGTTATTTTACTGTAAGTAATTTTTGTTTTAAATTGTAAATTTTGAAAGCAACAAATTAGTAAAAAATGCAGGAAAAAAGTTTGGTTATGAAAATGGGTCTAGCGAAGAGATAAATCAGTTTTAATTTTTACTAATTCTATGGTCAGAAGGCAAAATGTAATTATATTAATATTTTCTAATTTTATAGTACAGAAATTCTTAATGTTTTGTTCAACTGTGAAAAATTACGAAAAATTTGAGATATGAATTGCTACCCTCGCCTTTCTCCTAAATTACGCGCCACAGAGATGTCATATTTTACCAACATAGATGGAACACCACATATCTCAATTTTGACCAAAATTGGACGCGTCACATTTCGCCATTCGACCACAGAATTTATCTTTAAAGTGCAGCTGGACTTCATCCCAAAGAGATGAATCTTCCTCGCATTCATTTAAAAAATTTATTACACCCAAACGTACTGTTTTGTTTTCCATGTTTTTCTACCTGCAAACACACTCGCGATAATACAATATCATTTTCACCATGTACAGTGCCTTGTAAATGTCACTTAACAATCAAAGTAATCTGATTCTGTGGCGTTAAAGTCGCGACAGGAAGTCCAACATCGCGAGATAACGCGATTTTTATTTTTCACGGCGACAAAAATCGCGATCTACTGTCACGTGAAAACGCGCCTTTAGTCGAATTAATAAATTAAAGATGTCCGGGTAGAAATACCGTTACGCTAATTTTTCTTTGAATTGTTTCTTTAAATTGAATAAAAGAAATTGTAGTTATTTCGAGAAATGTTTCGATAAAATGAAAATTTAATACCGATCGGTAAACGTACTTGTAAACCGCCGAAGGATACTTGTCGAGTAGAGCGCCTTCAAACACCTCGTATACACGAGAATCCTGTAGCTTTTGCAACTTCGTACCCTGCGTCACGGAAGCGAAATATTGCGAGTATGTGTCGAAGTAGTCGCCGTAAAAGGTTCTTGCCTCCTCGGACATCGACCTTCTCATCGCCTCGAAGTGCTCCGCTTGTCGTGCAAGTATATTGCTCTCCTTGACAAACGAACCTGCGTGAACGTGTAAAGTAAGCAATTATTCGTCACCGTTGTTTTACCTGCAATGAAAAAGTAATTGGTTTTCAGCGTAGTAGTTTAATGATGTAGCAATTCAACACGTTTCGTGTTACCGGAACGTTGCAACTTTTAGCTGAACTTTGAAACTTTTAAAAAGGTCACTGTAAAATATTTAATTGTAGAAAAATATTTTTCACGCATACGTTCCACTTGAGTATTCGAAGAAAAATTCCTCTCAATTTAAAATCCATCACGAATAACAAATTCTTTAAAAAAATAATTAAATAAAAACGAAAGAGTTAACGAGAGTTCCATTTCCTAAGGCTGTCGCGTACCACCGATGGTAAAGTAGCAACAATATTTTAATTTTGACAATTTTTAATAAATACTGTAATTACTTCCAGTATCTTCAAAGGAAGAAAGAAATTTTTATATAAAATTTGTGTCATAATTCGTTGTTCAATTTTTTTTTAATATTAATTTCGACGAGTAGCTATTTGATTACGAACCAGGAATAAAAGAAACGACCTTGACGCCATACTTCTTCAACTCCATCCTAATGGCGGGG